TCTTTCATAATGTTTGCAGTTGCTGGGCAGGAGCCTCTCCGCAGTATGTGGTCATCTTCCAGAGCCTCCATCCCCCCATTCTCTAAAAAAATCAAAGTCATTACCCATTCAGCACACAGCTCTCAGGGTACATACGACAACTCAGACTAGCCTTTCTGTGAATAGATGCTGCGCGTCTCCTACTTATGAGGTGTCATCAGTTTGTTTAAGAGAAGCAGGAGAAACATTTTCAGACCCTCCTAGTTCTACGTGCCTAAACCACAAGTCATTTGAGATGTATTGCTGACTTCCAGCCAAGGCCAAAATACAGTGGCAGCAGTGGCTTTACAAAAGTAAGGCAGCCTGAGTGGGATTAGAAATGCCCTGTGTCTAACTGAGGAGAACAAGCAGATGGAATTTCCCATCTCTTTTCCATAACTTATGGTACAACTCTCTTGAAAAAAGACCGTGCCTTGTTCGTGCATCATATGGGATTTTCAATACAGCCTATGGTACTAACTCTCTGCTACTATCAACGGATAGGGATCTACTTAAAGCACACCGAGGTGAAGGAAAAATCATGAGCTGCTCGCAGCACCCAGCACCATTTTTGCAGTCTTTTTGTGTTTTTGCTGTCTCTTTGTGCCACGCTCCCTCCCCGCCCCCCACTGATTGCCCAAGGGACCCCAGTGGCCTTGCCCTTTACCACTGATTGTCTTTCATGTGGCACTGCCCCTTGCAGCTGATTGGTGCAGAGGGCTGCCCTTCAAGCACAGGAAAGTCAGCTCTCAGCCAATTAGCGGCCAAGGAAGTGGCCGCCATATTTGCTGGTCCGTTTCATGCCCGTGGTCTGCCCCCACTCCTGGTGAGCCATGAGGCCTGGCCACAGTGGCCACTGGCTTCCCCTGGGGAGCCGGCATTTTATTTGTAGTATTTTTTTATTTTGATGTAGATTGTTTTTTTTCTGGCGATTGCCCACAAAATTGCCGAAACTGCCGTTTTTCACAATGTTTTGTAGAAATCGCTGTTTTGGTGGTTTCTGCAAAAACCATGAAACTGTGATTTGAGTAGGTCTTTGTGAGGAGAGGGGTAAAGATTGGTGGTGCAGCGGAAAAGGAAGGAAATGGTGTGAACTGGTAGCCTGAGGACTCATCTACTTTTGCAGGTTTCTAAAACTTCTCACCAGTGGTAGCAACAGCGAGGGCACTAGCGTAGGCCAGTTGCCACTGGTATTTTAATTACCGTTTTGTCTCACCATGCTCCGAGCCAAATCCCCATGCCCTGTCGGGACTGGCGTTCCCACTGCTGGCAGCACAAATGAAGCTGCATGTATCCGACCCTCAGAAAAATGCTACTGAAGACAAGGCCCCAGCAGCAGGCAAATCCTTTGATCAGGCTTTGAACAACTTCAACGACTATGGACCCCTGCACTTGGGTCCCTGTTCTTCAGTTATCAACTACTTTGGGTCAACCCAAGCCAGCTCACAGTCCAGAGTCCCTATTGACGGTGTGATCCAGGTTTCGATGGGGACTCCGGTACAACTGTTATTGTGGGGCATTCTGGGCTTTTTCCCTGCCTCACTAGAGATTTACAGTGTCACCCTTCATTTCATTCAACTTCTCTGTGCCCCATCTTCCCCAATATGTAAAGTGGAGATAACAGTAATTGCTTGTCTATCTTTCTCATTTACAATATGCTCAACACCATAATATAAAGCACCTAGATACTGTGAAAGGATTCATTAATTAATGCTTGAGCTCCTAGGATGGAAGGTGCTAATTAACTCAAAATTATTATAATTTTGTTGCAGAATATTCAGTCTGTCCACTTGCAAGGAAGGGGACTCTGCCTTCTTTGCCTTCAGTTTTCTGTTGATGCAACATTTTTGTAATAGCGCGGAGGTGTGAGCAGGGAGAAAGGAGATACATCAGGCAGGGGAGGCTGCTGGTGCTGCTTTTCTGTATGGAGAATGCTACTTGATTTTTCTATGTTTTGTTTCTTTGCTTATTGAATTTTCCTCTTTTTCCTTTTCCTGATAAGCAAGTACTTCAATAGCTTATTGAGAATTCTCTGAACGCTCTCAGAAATGTCAGGGGAGACGATTTTCGTCTTCAGATTGCCAAGGCCTTCATTTGCATCCCCTAAATCAATCCTCAGAGATGATCAAAGAGCAAGCCGGAAAATTTCAAACGTGGGGGGAACCAATCCTCTTATTCCTTCCCCCCCCTTCCCCCGAACACACAAAATCAGGTTCCAAGACTAAAAAAAGAAACTGGAAAAATTATCATCTACGGGATCTGAAGATATTTGAATGTTCTCACCCTCTTTTTTGTTCACTCGGTGTTGGAACAATGCGAATCACAGAAAGCAGCGAGGAGAAAGACCTGTTAGGCTGTTTAATCCATTTTCCTTCCAGCCAGTGGAGCACTGCTCCCTATAATACAGTACAGCACTTTGTTGTTGGGGCTTGTTTTAAAGGTCCCAAGAGATGGAGCCTCCACTTGTGCCTTTGCGGGGCTGTGCTACAGTTTCCTAGATCTCATTGTTTGGAAATTATTCCTGATCTTCACCTCAGGTTTCCTATTCTTCTTTTCATCCCCAGTTGTTCTACCCTCCTAGTCTGATGTAATGGTTTCAACACCATGAAATACTGGGAGCAACTAATATTCAACACGGTAATATCCTAGAGCATCTCCTATAGGTGTCCCTGCTGAGAAAATGGGAATAATAAGCCTGGAATAGACACATTCTTGAGAAACAACATGATGGCCTGCAGCTCCTACAACCCCCATGTGCTTGCTTTGCAGTCACCTCTGTAAGGCTGGTTTTCTGTGAACTTGCCAGAGGAGTCCCTGGATGGCCCCTTCCAAAGAGGGATCCTGGGCAGCTACAGCCTGTGACAATGTGATTCCAGTGGCATCTCCTTGTGAAAGAGCCAGAGGCTGAAAGGGAGCCTAGGGCTGGTGGAGAGAGTCTTGTGCTTTACCCAACCCTCCAGGATCTGGCCAGATCTCATGGGGATCTGTGGGGTTTGGCCACCAACCCCCCAGTGTTTGTACTTTGCTCGGATGGAAGTATTCAAAGGACATTCAGTGAAGGAGGGATGAAGCTGTGTCATGGCCACTGATTTAAAGTAAATTGTACTCGGTAAAGTATAATTGTAACTCGGGGCCAGATGTAAATAATAGGTCATATTTAGACCGACCACTAAATACAGACTAGATGCGGACCCAAATATTAGATCCAAACTGGCTACAACAATCAAGGACAATAAAAAGTCCTTCTACAGATACATAGTGAGCAAAAGGAAGGTGCAGAGTAACATAGGGCCCCTGCAGGACAAATCAGGACAGTTGGTGGCTGACACGGGGAAAAAGGCAGAGCTCTGCAATGAGTTCTTGGCTTCAGCATTCCTAAGTACTGGCCGAGACAATTCCCCCAGTCTGAACATAGGTAGATGTCCGGGAGGCACTAGACCGCCAGTGGTTAGTGCTGACTTGGTTAAGGAGCACTTGGAGGGGCTGGATGGGTACAAGTCAGAAGGCCCGGATGACCTCCATCCGCAGGTGCTGAAGGAACTGGCCAGTGTCATACCTGAGCCGCTGGTATGGCTGTTTGAGCACTCACGGTGATCTGGCCAGGTCCCTGAGGACTGGAAAAGGGCCAACGTGGTGCCCATTTGTAAGAAGGGGAAAAGGGATGAGCTGGGTAACTTTAGGCCAGTCAGTCTTACTTCTATCCTTGGGAAACGCTGGAAAAAATCATTAAAGAGTGCATTTGTGAAGGCCCAGCAGGGGAATGATGCTGAAAGGAAACCAGCACGGGTTCATCACAGGTAGATCCTGCTTGACCAACCTTATAGCCTTTTACGAACAGGTCTGACACTGCCTTGACACAGGAGCTGAGGCAGATGTCATCTGCCTGGTCTTTAAGAAGGCCTTCGATACAGTTTCACATCCTATTCTCGTAGGGAAGCTAGCAGGCTGTGGAGCGGACGCTTACACAGGCAGGTGGGCGGCCAACTGGCTTAGGACCGCACCCAGAGAGTGGTGGTGGACAGGTCATTTTCGGCCTGGAAGGAGGTGAGCGGTGGTGTCCCGCAGGGTTTGGCCTTGGACCGGTGCTATTTAATATCTTCATCAACGATTTGGACGAGGGCGTGGAGAGCACCCTCTCCAAATTCGGAGATGACACCAAGTCATGGGGCAAAGTTAACACACCGGAGGGCAGGGAACGGAGACAGGTTGATCTGGACAGGTTGGATCAATGGGCAGAACGAAATTCAACAAAGACAAATGTAAGGTAGTCCCCCTAGGGAGGAGGAATCCCTAGCACACCTATAGGTTGGGGGATGCCCTCCTCAGCACCTCAGTGGCTGAAAGGGATCTCAGAGTCATAGTTGACTCCAAGGTGAACACGAGCCGGCAGTGTAATGAAGCCATGGATAAGGCCAATCGCACCTTGTCGTGCATTAGCAGATGCATGACCAACAGCTCAAGTGATGCTCCCCCTCTATGCAGCATTGGCCAGGCCACAGCTGGAGTACTGTGTCCAGTCCTGGGCGCCGCACTTCAAGAGGGATGCGGAGAATCTGGAGAGGGTCCAGAGGAGGCCACTCATATGATTAGTGGCCTCTGTGCAAGACCCTACGAGGGGAGGTTGAGGGATCTAGATCTCTTCAGCCTTCACAAGAGACGTCTGAGGGGAGACCTTGTAGCAGCCTATAAGTTTATCAAGGGAGGACAGCAGGGAATTGGAGACACGCTATTCACCAGGGCACCCCTAGGAGCAACTAGGAATAATGGGTACAAAATAATGGAGAGTAGATTCAGGTTAGACATTAGGAAGAAATTTTTCACAGTAAGGGTGGTCAGAATCTGGAACGGGCTGCCAAGACAGGTGGTGCTGTCACCTAACTTGGAGGTCTTCAAGAAGAAGCTAGATAGGCACGTGGCTGGGGTTGTCTGACCTCGGTCCTCTTTCCTGCCTGGAGCAGGGGGTTGGACACGATGATCCTTCGGGGTCCCTTCCAACTCTACAGTCTATGAATCTATGAATCCAAACACCCCAGCTGAGTTAAACCAGAACCTTCCCCTTGGTCCCCTTTTATGAAATAAGCTCCATCTCACCCCCAGAACCAATGCCCCCTGCTCTCTGATCATGTTCAGAGCTAGCTTTATAGCTCATTCCTAGCTTCATAGCTCAGGCTCCTCTATAACATGTGCTATGACCATGAAGGTCAAGACCCTCAGTTCTTCATGCATGATATGCGACCCCTCCTTGAAGTAACGGCCAGGCACAGGCATTTGTTTTTATCCATTGCATTCTCTCTCCATTTCTGGTTGCTCAGCTCCCTTCTGACAAGTGCAAGAAATATGTGCGCTCCTAGGTCCTTGCAAGCCAGGCATTAGTCATGCTGTGCGTTTCAAGGACATTAGTCTGCTAGTTTCTCAGCTTTAACAAAATACACATTTTGCCAGGAGGGCTTTGTCTGTGTTTACAGGTTACTTGTAAAAGTCAAACTGCATCCTTTTGCTGAAGAAGCATGGCAGCCCGTCTATGGGAAGAAGAACAGTGGCAAAAAGTAAGGAGCTTAAGTTACTCCTATATAGTTCTGCAAAATAACAGCACTTTAGAGAGTAGGGACCATTTTGTCCAGCAGTGAAATGCAGATGTAGAGTGTTTGGTTAGGACAGTGTGTTTGACACTTCTAGCAGCAGGACCATGACCCTTAGGCATCAGGGCCTAGTTTTTGTGTTTTGTCCAAAGATGTGACTTCCAGTGCCACAGAAGACCCTATCAATATGCTGGGCCACAGAAACCTCAGTTCAGCAAAGCACTTAAGTATGTGCATAGTGCTTATTGACTTGACTGAATCCGGGCGTTAGTCAGCACTGACTCAGATGAAATAATTTTGCTTACTGAAACACCTGCAGTGCTTGGGTCTTCCTTGAAAATCTCCCTGCTCCATAATGACTCCATAATGACTCTACTCATCCCATATGAGTTAATAAGATCTGACAGTGCCAGAGTAAAAGTGATAGAATTGCAGATGCAGTCATTAAAAAAAAAGAAGCAAAAACTACTGCTAGGGTGGATGCTCAAATAAAGGAGCGTCTGAAATATTTTGTCTCTACAGGACATCTCACCCTTCCTGCTTTTTGCAGAACCAGAACCAGTTAGATGAGCCCTTCAATCTTTTTCCTTCTGATAAAATGGCTTCTGAGATGGCACTCCAGTTGGAAAGAAGATGTTCTTGGGAGCACCTTAGGAGAATTCAAGTCTCTTACTGCTGAACCACTGCAGGAATGGTAATATTGTTTTCTCCATTGTAGGACACAGTAATAACTAGGAGAGGCAGGGTTTTGCACCTTGAAAACTATTTTCTTTACCATGCTTAATAAGACTATGTCGTTCTCCAATCTACACTGGGGGAAAAAATCCTTGTTTTACAGAAAATACTATAATACAGGTATATATGCCAGTTGGCCATTGACAGCTGGGAATCCTTTTCAGATACATTTACATGTCTGCTCAGACCCAGTGTAGAGTCCTGCTTTGAACCTGAACACAACACAGTCCAGGACGTGGTAGATTTATATTTCATCACACATTCAGTAGAAAATGATGCTTTCAATGGTCCAGCTCTCCTCTTATATAGACCTTCACTTGCATGCATGGTTCTTGGCCTTGGGTTGAGTCAGTGGCATTAACTATGTAAGGGTCTGTCAGATAAGAGTCCTACTCTCCATCCGCCAGAAAACGACAAGCTCTCAATCGCTGAAGAACTGACAGAACATCTTAATTCAGCTACTGTACAGTGCAGCATCTAGGCTAGAGGCTTCTTTTGATACAATCTACGGTCCAGCACAGGCTGAACAGACTGGGAAATTAAGGGGATTTATAGTAAGGTTTGAATAAGAAATGAAGAATAACTTTCTAGCTGCTGATAAAGGTGGTGGCTTGGGTCTGCCAGCCCACAAATTACATAGCTAAGAGATAAATTGGTTCTTTGAAAAAGGAGTGGTTACATGGCAGTCAGTGCACTGTAAAACTGGGACTATGTTACTGATTATATCTAGCCCCATGGTTCTGTCCTGGAGTTTCCTGCTCTTTTCAGGATGTGCTTCTGTTAGCAAAGGTGCTGTCACACATGTATATTTGCTTTCTGGGTGGAAATGAGCCTCACGGTGTTACATTGGTTGGCCTCCAGAGTTGCCTATCTTGTGACTAACTGGCAAGCAGTGTGTCATATCCAGGTGCTCTGGATCCACCTCTCAATCTCACCAGAGCTGTCTGATTGCCAAGGTCAGATCTGGGTTGGGTGCCTCTCTGCTAGTGAGACCATAAAAACAAAAACAGATACTGTACAAGCAAATCCCATCCCTTACTCTCCTTCAGAAAAGCAGTAACATGAAGGCTTGGATCATTGCATTGATTCAAATCTAAGACAAGGTATTTCTTCCCGTTCAAAACGGGGAAAAAGCCCTTCCTCTGAGATTCAAGTATAAGTTGCGGGGACAGTGGCTGCGGCTGTGGTTCTGACTCCAATACTGAGTCTGGGGTTGAAGCTGAAGCCACTGCCCCCACCCTTTACCCCCGACAGCCGTTATCTCCCCCCTCCTGCTATCACTTTCCTTCCCCTTGCAGCTCCAGCTATGGCTGGGGCCCTACTCCAGCTGGGGGCAGGAAGCATGGAGCACATGCTGCCTCTGGCCCCATCTAGCCACAGAGCAGTGGGAGCAGCAGCAGCAGGGGCCAGGGCCAGAGCCAGAGCCAGAGCTGCTGCTGCTGCAACCACTGCTGTGTGGCTAGGCAGGGGCTGAAGGCAGCATCTGCTCCATGCTCCCTGCCCCTGGCTGTAGCAAGGCCCCAGCTGGAGTCAGAGCTGTGACAAGAAGGTAAGTTGCAGCAGTGGGGGGGAGGCTGTGTGGGAGGCAGGCAGTGGAGGGGACAAAGCAAGGGGAGCAAGTGATGGAGGGGCAGGCAGC